CTGTCCTCCATGCTGCTGCCCAAGGCTGCCTGTGTGTCTTGGGAGGAAACCATAGACTGGCTAGGGAAGCTGGTTCGGTCTCCCCCCAGGATCACATGCAGTTGCTCGTAGAAGTGGCATGTTTGAGGCAATGTTACAGACCATCTGTTTGCTTTCTTTATCTTTTGGTACAACTGCCTTAGCTCCTTCCTTTTCACTTGGCACTGCTGGCCGTCACTGGTGTATCCTTTTTCCTCCATGCCCTTTGTGATCTTGACATAGATCTATGTTTCTTTTGCTGGTTTGTAAGTTCTGTGAGAACAGATTTCTCTCCCCACGTAGCAATGAGGTCCAGGAGCTCATGCATGCTCCATGCTAGTGCTTGTCTGCAACCTTAGGAAACTCATGGAGCTCATGGAACTTGAACTCATGGTCAGGTGTGCTGCTCAGGTGTGCTGCCTGCTCACCACGCTGGCCACATAGGAAATGAAATTCAAGTTGCTCACCTGGAGAGCAGTATACTTCCAAGTTGTGGCCAGACCGGCCACTGCAAGGCACTGTGGGATACTGCCCAGAGGCCAAGAATGTCAACTTTCACAGTGCTGCCTATGCACTACTGGAAAGTTGACCATGCAAGATCGAATTTAGCGGTTTCTCCTCATGAAAGCAGGAGTACAAAAATCAACTTTTAACTGACCTTAAAGTCAACAGAATAGGCTTGGTAGTATGGACGCTCATTGTTTAGAAAAATGATCTAATGCACCTAAGTTTGACCTAAACTCCCACTGTAGACCAGGCCTGAGGTTGTGGAGCCAACAGCTGAGGCAAATAGCAGCCAATTAGGGCCCAGCTAGGGTAGTATAAACAGGGGCTCCTCAAGAGAAGGTGAAGAGACTCTTACTCCTCAACAGAATAGGCTTGGTAGTATGGACGCTCATTGTTTAGAAAAATGATCTAATGCACCTAAGTTTGACCTAAACTCCCACTGTAGACCAGGCCTGAGGTTGTGGAGCCAACAGCTGAGGCAAATAGCAGCCAATTAGGGCCCAGCTAGGGTAGTATAAACAGGGGCTCCTCAAGAGAAGGTGAAGAGACTCTTACTCC